AACATCTCTACCAGGTTGACGGCCTGCGAGTCAGGTCAAACAAGAGGCAGTTTTGCATTTTCTGGTGCTATCCAAAGCGCGAACCACGAAGCACTAGATTCGAGACATTCGGTGCCAGCGATGATGGGAGGAACATTGCTATGTGCACCACGGAGGGTTGATGTTGTCATAGAGGAGCAACAGGCGTAAAGCGCCACAATGTTTTAAAGCGCGAGAATCAGCTAAGTTTAGCGTGGACGTGCAGCCAATTGACAAACAAAGTGGTGAAATGTTTGTCTGTGATGCTTCGCTTGTTTTGTGGAGTCGGTGTAGACTCAGAAGGGCTACTGTACGTCTCAACAAGGTGTGGCAGCACCACACCTGCTGATACCTTAGCATTGATGCGTTGGGGAGACTTGAGCCCACTTGGAAAGAGGGTGGTCGGCAAAAGCAATGTTCTTCGTGTCAATGCGTTCAGACAAATCAAGAGACTTTCTCGCTTCAATTAAATCAGCCTTCGGAGTCAAGCATCCTGGGCTTTCTAAGATTCTACAGCCATGTAGGAGTCAATGTGTGTGTGTGTGTGTTCGTGCTTTGGAATTCTACTTTTGTCTCTGCAAGCCTCGTCTCTTTAAAACTGCCAGGCCCGGGCATCAATCCGACGCTCGGCCAGACACAAAATTGTCGAATTCCATCTGCCTGTGATCAAATCAAGTACTCCTCCCTCGCGCCCTGGGACTTCACCGGAGTGGCAGTCAAGAACCACAGGGACATCACTCCATGGTGACTTTGGGTGGAATTGTACCTGGCCACCGTGCGCATGTGGTCTGAGCGTCGCAAGCGTGGTGGAGGTTTCAGAGGGGGCGGGCCCCAGACGCAAGGTGGGATGCCCACCACGAAGCCCCTCTCGTCGCCCGCTTTCTTGCCAGCGCCATATTTGGGATGGGTCCTGCACAAAAGCTCGCCGGTGGACTCCTTGTAGAGCTCCAGGCCGTTCCCACCCACGTGCTGGTGGCCCCAGGCATGAACTAATTCAAACTCTTCCTCTGAATCACTGGCATTATCCCCAGACACGTCAAAGAACTCGATGTTGCTCAGCACGTGCTCGCACTGCTCAGGAGGTGTCCCCGGGGCGCATTGCGGGACGTCGTATTCCACGTTGCCCCCCGTGAAGATGCTCCTCTCCTCCAGCTTGGGCTGCGTTGCATCGCAGCAAGAGGGCTGCATGGTGCGACGAGCACTCTTGACCTCGGGGGCATCTGGCGCATAGAACTCGAAGGTGAACTTCGCCTCGATCTGCTGTATCGGCCCCCGGGGATGGGGCGCCTCGGTGAGGAAGACTCCGTGCTCACAGCACCTGTAGCCGCCCTGATAGGTGGCCAAACTGCAGGCTGTGTTCCTCTCTTGGAGCAGCTGCTCGGAGCAATCAAAGGCGACCGGCACCTTGCCATCAATGGTGCCATTGGAGATGTTGATGTTGCGATCGGTGGTGCAAGGACATTCCCAGAGCTTCTTGCTTTCTGGCGCACCGTGAGTGTTGATGAAGTGGATCAATGCCATAAAGCCCTCAGGGCTGTCCACACCGTAGGTGTAGGGTCCTGCCAGTTTGGAGGAGGTCCCCCGGTACTCCGCGCCGCTGGCACCCCCGAACACCGTCACACTCGAGCGCTTCGCTTGTGGGAGCGCGGAGTTGATGAGGGACTCGAAAGAACGGCGCTTCATCATGCATGCGCCGTGCACACTTGCATGTGCATGCGCCTGCGCATGCGCAAGCTCACGTACCTGGAAAGCATCCGTTTGGTTCGGGTAAAGGCTGGGGTCAAAAGGGTCCTTGCCCTGAGCGTACTTGTACATCTGCATGAGGTCGTCGTGCGATCCCAGCATGAGGCCGTGATGGTGGTTGTAGGTTTTGTAAAGGGGCGCAGGCGTCTTCTCCCCTGTCGTGTTGTTCACCAGCAAGATGTCCAGCTGCAAACTTTTGACGTGCATGGTCTGGTTTGCAAACTGTTTCACGATCTGCTCAGGCAACGCCTTGGGCAAAACATACCGATTGTGCACCTCGCTGGGGCGAAGAAAAATCGGATCCGAAAAGACGCTGAAGCGCTGGACGGTGCCTGAAGCGAACTGCAATGATGCCGTAACGAGCACCCAAGCAAAGCGCAGGGTCATGTTCGGGGTCTAGGCGCTTGCCAGGCTGAAATACCTTGCCAGAGCTTGAGCCAAATGCTCGCCGTGGTTTCTGTGCGTGTGGTTGAGAGAAAAAAGAAACCAGCACATTACCAAGGTCCACCGCTCAAAACATTGGTCATCCTCGGCAGGGCTTGCAAGCAAGCATTTGCCATGGCAGCTGACCTGGCCTGCTGATCAATGACTTTGACGCTATTGTACCTGCGCCAACGCTCAAGTTTACACAGCGCATTGAATTACTCTTCCACGTTGACGTGATGAGCCTCATGATGTCTGCTTATTTCTTAAGCTTTCAGGCGGGTTCTATGTACATGAGGCAACGCAAAAGCTCGGCAGCTTCAGCAATCTTGGACCGCATCGCTACAAAGCAACTGCGCTGCTAGGGGATTGAGCAGCCATGCCACCGATAAAGCCAAGGAAAAGGCGGTGTGCGTCCCCATCTGCTTCCCAATCCAATTGCAAAGGCGTTTGCCGTGTGGATCGAATGTGTTCTATGGCTCGCAGCACGCTCTGGAGTCTAGCCTGTGAGTTGTCCTGAGTGCTTCCTCATCCAAGAACACATGCATTGCAACTTATGCGATATCCTTGCTGCCACTCTGCACGCGACTGCTTCCCAATTGCATCTCCAAGAGTCACAGTGCGCAGTCTGCTCATGGCTACGAACAACAGCTTGCCGATAAGCCTTCTTCAGGTCAGCATTCGAGCACTGTGGGTCCACGCCCAAAATGGAGTATGCCTGGAGACTGCCAATCTTCAACCTTTGAAACGTTCGACCATTGCTCACATGAAACCACAAGGCACTGTTCCCAAGCCTCCAAAAGCTGGGGCCTCACAGCAATGATGAGCGAGCTGACTGCGCTATTGGGAAAAACCCTAAAATCTCTCTGGCTGACCCGCGAGCGCGCACGCGCGCACCCCTCTCACGCGCACACCCATGCACCCGCACCCACGCACCCACGCACCCACGCACCCACACCCACACGCAGTTGAGTTGGGTGTTCGGGTCAACGGTTCAAGTGCAGTGATCGAGCGGTCCAATTGTCTCAGGATAAAGTTTGTAGCAAAGAGGCCCCAAACGCAAACTGCGCCAAAAGTTCAAATGGGACAGCAAGCTGCATCGAACGCGCTCACGCCTATCCGCGAAAAGCAAGTATTTTTTGAACCCAGAGCCGGGCTCTGGTCATCAAACTGTAGCGAGAAAGACCGATTGCTGCAATGAAGTTGCAAGTGTGCGCAGGAATGATGGGGATGCTTGTGAAGTTGGCGAGGATGTAGTTGGCGGGGATGCTGGCGACAGTCGGGATTTGGACGGCATTCACAGTGTTTCTTGAAGGTTGGGCACAGGGCATCAGGGGCCCGTCGCAAGGCCAGGGATGTCGGGGATGTTTTGGGATCCAAATGTTTGGGCTGGCCTGTGTCCAGGTGATGCAGGAGATGCTGCAGAGGAGCTTCTAATCCAACAAAACACGCCAGCCGTATGCCCGAAGGGTAGGGTTGCCCTCGCTCTTCGAGCTAGAAGACGCACAGCGCAGATGGATTTCCATCGTCGAAGACAAGCTATTGCTGACAGCCACCTAGACCCGTTGACGGTTCAAACCCATGCGCTTACAGAATGGCGCCGAGAGCCACCGCCTTAGACCGCTCGGCCAAACCATCCCTCAGAGTTGGATCTAGCGCTCGCAGTTTGTTTCGCTTTGTTGCTGCGTTGCGGCTATTAGCCAAATAGCCTCCTGACTCAGCAAAAGACAAGGGAGTTGCGCAAGGGACACGCCGTTCAGACATCGGAGTTGCAAACGTGTCTCGGAAGGGTCATTGACCCAAAAAGTTTTCCAATAACTTCCGCAGCGCTGGAACTAATTGAGCTAGCTCTCCTTAAGAACGCACACACCTGCGCGTGAGCTTTACGACTACAAAACCTCCCCACTCCAAACGTTGAAACTATGGAGGTTCTATAATGACCAAAGGATCAATATCATGAGACTGCTGGTACTTCTTTGGGATGTCTCTCAAATATATAGCAGTGTGAAAGTGATCCCGCTCAGGAATCCACTGACCACACACAAACACAACCACACACACACACACACAACTCTCTTTCTCTCTCTCTCTCTCTCTCTGCGCAAATCGAGGCAACATCGCGACGGCACTGAGCAACTGAGGTGAAGTCTGGTGCGATTGGCGAGAAGCTCCTTGAGCAACATGGACAGAGGCACAAGAGGCTAGGCCAATGACTTTTACTTCTAGAAACTGAAGTCTCTCAGTTTGGCAACGGATATATAGATGCTGATTGCACTTGAATGCTGCGAAGGATCGGCGTCGCGAGCTTTTAGAACTGCCATTGCTACTGCAGCGGCTCTTGCTCTTGCGCATGTGCAATGGTGCACTTGCCGCATTGTCAGAGAGCTGCTGAAAGCAGATGGCGGCCTTGGCTCATCTGCTTGCAAGAGGCCGGTAGACCGGTAGAATGGCAAAGGCTCAAAACACGAAGCGCATAGCCGCATAGCTCATGGCTCAGGCGCCACCTCACGGCCACCCAAGCTGCCAGCAAAGCCACTGCACCCGGCAGCTGCGGCGACCACTATGCCGCTAAAGCCAGTAAGCATGCTGGCAACTGCCATGGCCTTGGGATGCACTGCATCCTCAAAACTCAGAAACTTCTCCGGTGCAAAAGCTAAGAACGAGGCACATGCGACACCCCCAGCTGCACTACCCGAGACTTCCACAGCACGACTGAGGGCCATGGGCCCAGTGATCTCGTTGTGAAGCCAGGCGTAGCCCTACACAATAGTACTAAATGCTGGCAATGCAAGCATATTGATGCGCGTCTTTGAGCTGGAACAAAGGTGATCCCTCCTGAACAATGCCTGGAACAAGCTAAGCTTGTGCCAGTGTCGTTGGCAACGAACAAGAAGCAAGCCTGAGCTGACCATTCTCGCATCAATCCGTAGCCTCAGTTGCAAATCAATTGGAGCTTCTATCATAGCAATAGGCTGCTTTGAGCTGCTGGCCCACAAAAATCGCCTAGGGCCACAGTGAAAGCAACGAGCCAGATTCGTCACATCCGCTTGTATCAAAAGAGACAAAGTGCAGCTGTGGCACCGTAGGTGCAACTGGACCCAACATCAGAGCCATGCCTCCTCCTCATGTTCAGCCAGCCGGCGACGTGTGCGACATTTCCCTGTTGGCTTCAAGCTGTGCTCAGGCTGCCGAAATGAAGAAACAAATGAAAAAAACGCCATTGCAACTGGGCTAGTTGACTCCGACCTGAGGTTTCATGAGCTTTATTTTCTGACTCAGGCAGGGCTAGTCCTGCTGCTCCGACCACGGCTCCACGAGCAGCTGCAGATGCCAACGTAGCTGTCTGCTCAGCCGCTGAGCCTACCACGTGGGATTCAAGAATTCTCAAAGGAAACGAAAACACTGTAAACTGCTTCGGATACTAAGTGGTACTTAGTGGTACTTAGTGGTACTTGGTGGTACTTGAGGTACTTGAGGTACTTGTCTAAACTCTCGTATATTTGCACTGGATTTGATGCTCTATCCTCTCACATGTCACCGTGCAAGAGCACCCTGCGACAGGACGCAGCCAGTCCCTGCCAGAATTCCGTACCTATACGGGCACTGCATATTCATATTGATCTTCCCGTTTCCTTGCGCTGGCTTGCATGAAGCACTTGCATCAAACACTTGCGAAGAGAACTTGCATAGGATGAGAAAGTTCCAAGGACAGCGTGCATTGAAAAACATAGCTAGAGAACTTGCAGAAAGAACGTGCATAGAAAAACTTGCATGGAGCAGTTTCGGAGATCAACTGCATGAATAACTTGCATCGATAAACTTAAGAAAACTTGCCTAGGCAAGTTTCATAGAGAGCTTAGAGAACTTGGAGACCTTGAGTGGAGAGCTTGCGTAGAGGACTTGCAAAGGGCGCTTGCGAAGAGAATATGGCCTTCAAACCAAGTGTTCTGAGGCGGCCGGGTGTCTCTTGAGGTGCACAAACCCTCTTGTTTTGCACCAATTCACAATGCCTGCCCGACCCTCTGGTGCATCGCGATTGTCGGATGCGTACCTTTTGCAATGTACATGCAGTTGTTTTTTGGTTTAATGCACTAGTATGCGACTTTGAGGTTGTTATGTACAAAGACTCTTCTTTGTTTCTAGTAGCATGTTTGTCTTTCCATCCGAATATCATGCGTTGCGCGTTTTTGCCTTTAGTGATCCTGCTGGCTTGGGATCGTCTTTTCACTCCCCAATGTAGATTCTGCCCGATGCCACCTGCTGCCCAAGACATGACAAGGCCTTGAGATGGTGATGCTGGGAGCCCGTATTCCAGCGCTTGGTACGCTTGTTGAAACTGTCAACACCTTGGATTCCACGAAAGAAAGATTTCTATACACAACCAGCACATTCCGGAGCAGCCTGCTACCGTCACCGCCCCATGTCTGCCCAAAATGGCCGTCTTCCCTTTAAAATCCCACAACTAGTATGTCGCACAACGGAGCTTTTCCCAAGAATTACAGCCAGGTGCTTGATCCCTAAACCCCAAATATTAATGCTACTGCAAGCCCGCCTCGGCGGCAAAGGGGAGAACACCCGCAAGGCAGAGACCCGATGCCAATCCCCAGACACATAGCAGCAGCCTGAAGAAAAAAACAAAACAGCCCACAGTTGGATTAGAACTCGGCTATGTTGACAAGTGGCTTTCTTCCTGCAAAACCGCAAAGCCCATCACCCTCAAACACCAACACAGCCCCCAACACACTCCAAGGCAGAAGAAAATCCAGGCACACAGCAGCAGCCTGAAGCAAACAAAGGCAAAACAAGCGCAGCCTCCAAACACACTAAGGATCGCGACAAACCAACAAACGAATGCAAACCTCCCAAAGCCCCACAATCCACGCCACAAAGTCAAACTTTCGCACCTTACTATTGGCTGGCGGGGTAGGGGGCTCGAGTACTAACTAGTAGTAATTATTGTACTATACTTACCTGTCTGGTTTCGGCCCAGGGGCCTCGGCGGACTGCAATCAGCAATCAGTGAACATGATGCTTTAGCGCCACACATTCCAGGGGGGCTTGATGAAAAATGATTGAGATACTCAAGTTCTACTTGAATTTGGATGGTATGAAAATCCATAGCAAGTCGCCATATACAGAACAAGCCACATGTCAACAACATGCGAAGACAGCCCGCCTCGCTTCTGCGCCATGCTCAGCTGCATCGTCTGCGGGGCAAGAAAAAGCCCACGTGCACAAATTATTGTAACAACTGTCTGAGGAAAGTCGTCAATGCCTCCACAGCAATTGTGGACACCACGCCAAAGATTGCGCCCTGATGCATACTCATACCCAGTGATAGACTGGCAGGAACCCCAGCTTGCCTTAGGCGGCATGAGCCGCATCAAATACTCAAAGAAAGGAGCTGATGAATCGGCTACATGCAGGTCAGGCGAACAAGACGTGAATTATGCCAGCGAGCATGCTAGTTGCAAATTAGATTTCTGCTCTGTCGTGTAGCCTGTTTTTTGAGGGAGCCCCTCTGCAGGAAACACTGATAAGCCACCAAACAAAAGACATGCCTTTGTTCGCCCCTCGCATGCTGCGTGCGGAGCCTCCCATTCACACATTGTTGATTCGTGGTTACAGAGGCGCAGAAAGGTCTCACTTGCAAAGAATGTAGTGATCAAACGATGAGATGAGGCGCGCCATTGCATCAGAGTGATCAGCCACTTGCGGCTGCTGCATGAGCGCCTGGCAATCGTCACCACATGAGCCACTAAATTTCCATTTCTTTTTTGAGTAATCCAGGTGGAAAGCAGCCAGGGCATGTTAATGTTCAATTCAGGCTCCTCATGACGCTGTAGTGCGGCAGCCGTTAGTGGGGTAGTTGGTGTCTCAAGCGGCACAGGAAGTGGTGCAACCTCATCTTAGTGACCATCATCTGTCGCTGCAGAGCTCACTCACGAAGACTAAAAGCCAGGCCGGAGTGAGGCAAGCGAGCTTGCGCATCCACCCAACTCTTAGGCTGACACATCTGTGGCAACATCCGGCACTCTCATGTGAAGAATCACTGGTGACGAAGTGCTGGCAATAATAGGCCCATCGCTGGGCAGCACCTTCACAGGATCAAACAGCACGACCCAGCGGTTGTCATTGAAACACATAACACATTCAAACAGGTGGACAGTGTTCAAGATCAAAAAAACAAAAATGCTGCAAGTTGCTACGCTTTGCTGAGGCAAAAAAGGTGAAAGGTGTTCAACGGGAGTTCCCAAAAGATGTAGACTCCTGGAGAAAGAGGGTGTTCGAGGTTGCCGAGAGCGAAATCGCTACAGTATGCTGGAGTGCAGTCAAATGCACCAATGGTCCATTATGCATGTGATGCAGGTGCGGATGTGGATGAAGCACTTTCGCCCTGGTATAGACTTTGCGAATGCGAATCCTGAAATGCGGAACTTTCCTCAGCTGCAACTGACGCACTGACTGTATGCTACTTGTCAGCATGCGTATGTCAACGAATGTGACGGGCCATGGTCAAAACTCCCTGCATGGATAATATTACAGGTGATCACTCCTACATGGTTCAAGAGTCGTTGATGTTCTGCAAGGGCACTGTAAAAGCTAAGAGTCCTGACGGCTCCCTGACCTTGCACCTCAGAGGCCGTGCACTCATGCCAGCTCCTTGGTTTCTCAACCCCTCTAGGCTTCAGCTGCCTGATCAAACGGGCTACAAATTTCTCATTACTCGGGCTCCTAGAGCTAAAAACTGCGGCAAAAAAAGCCAGCTTGTGGCCTCAAGCAAAAAAAACACGTGTCTTAGCACAGCACGTCGCTCAACCGCGCTCTTGTCGCTGCCTCAGTTGTGCAAGTGCATCAGTTGACAGGCTCACAACTGGTTGGCAGTCTCTCGGAACCGGTGTGCAGCAGTATCCCCTCCCCCTATTGAATTGAGCTGCATATGTTGTGCTGCTGTCGGACATTGGATACGAAGGTAAGGCTTCAGGATCTACAAGGGTGGGTGCACGCAATGCAGCTGCAGTCCTCAGCACACGTCTGAATCCCATCCGTGAATTGTGCAGCTAACGCGGCGAAGCATCACAGAAGGATGGTGATGATGTCCCAGCGAGTGATACCTGCAGGGCCAGGATGAAACTAAGCGCTCCCAAACAAAAGCTGGTACATCCTGTCCTCGTTAGCCGTGGCTCGTGTTCTCTCAAGCTCAATGGTAGCTCTGTCTCGGCCTGAAGGCTATGCCACGTTCTTGCGAGCAATGGAAAGCCAGCTGCAATTCTGAAACAGCTTTCTTCAAATAAAGTGCTCTACTGCAGAAACCAGCACATCTGTCCTGCTCAAAAACCGGTCTCACTCTGAAGGCAGCGAAGGCTTCGTCTGCTGGCTGGATACCAGGCCTTATGGAAAATCATGCAAGTTTCATGGATTCCAATTAACACAAGGAAAGGATTCGAAAGCCTTGCAAGTTCCCACTTGGGCAAACTCGAAAAGTCCCAGGAACTCCACATGCTGCGAGGTCTCCGTCTTGGTTCCCTGCGCTGTAGCTGCGAGGACTACAGTAACCCTTTACACAAGCTGCTGATTCTGTACACCTGTGTTGCAATGCATTTAGAATGAGATGCCTTACAGCACGCCTCTCCAAGCCCCAAATTAATGCTTAACATGGTCTGATTCTAGTTTCCGTGATGCCAGGCAAATGATGATAGCTCTCCTGCAAATGGAGCAGCTCATGTGCATGGAGCATCACGGAACCCACCAAGCCTCACCGTGCGATCTGGAGACAGGACTGACGTCTCGAGTTTCAGGAGTCTCGGTGAAGGAGACTCTGCGGTTCCGGCGAAATTCCGCATCCACAGGAAGAGCCTCAGGCAAAGCACGGTTGACCTCGAACACCTTCCACAGCGCAATCAACCTCTGCAATCGAGAATCGACTGATGCTCGTTTTAGCGCCGGCTTCGCCGGACATGTAGTGGCCACAGGCGCAGATAGCCGCTTCATGTCTGGCGGCTGAACCTTCAAAGGTTTTGCGCCTGGGAATTCCCTCAAACAAATCCCTTGACACGGCCTCAAGAGGTCGAGGGCATAGCCAGGCATGAAGGGATCTGCCATCCTGGACGTGAGCCTCACAACTAAAACATCTTTGATCTGAAACCTTTGCAAACTTGCAACATCATCTCGTCACCGGCCCGTCTATATTGCCTACAAAGAAAAAGCGCGTCGTGCTGGCCAGTGTCAAAGGGTGAAAAAGAATGTACATTCACCGAGGCACGATATTCGCCACGTTGCCATGAGAGTCTGGACGGAATCGACAGACTGTGGCAGTTGACGTACTGGCTCTTCGAGACGTGCGAAGCGATGCTCGGGAAGTTGACGCTATCAGGGATCGCCCAATCTCTGGCACTGAGGCCCGCCGTCGTCCTCAACAAATATGCTTGTCTACTTCAGTGTATGTAGCCCGCCACTTATCTTTGACAAACTTTCCGGAGCACATGCCGTGTCCTTCGTGAGGATCAGGTCGGCAAGCCGCATCAACCTGCCATTCTCGGATGCCCCCCGCAGAAGGTTGGAGTTCACCACACCCAGGTTGACTCTAGCAAAGCAAACTCTGCAAGTGCTGGAGGAGACTCACAATTTGTCTAGCAGACTTATTGCCCCAGTCCGGTCCGCAATCAACCGGGGGATTTACCAGACTGCACTTGTCCAGCAAGAAAACAGCCACTTGCGATGGCAACATCCATCCTTGAAAGGCTAAAATAGAACAGGTAGTCAAATTGGTTTGCTGAAGTCTGGGCAGCTGCAAGGCTAAACAGCAGAGCGGCGAAGCAGCCGAGCGCCTACGTGAGTTTGTGAGGCTGGGTTTTGCCATCAAAGGCAAGCGGCGAGATACAGTTAAGTTGAGCTAGCAACGGCATAGGATGTCGAAGGAAAACAACTTGAAGAACGATTCAAGAAGTCGGCAACAGCCAAGAATGGGATTGAAAAACTATTGCACTGCACCAAAGCTTGTACTCTCAATGGCAAAAGGCGATGAAGCCGAAGCGCCCAAAGCCCAAACACCGTGCGGCAAAACAGCCTGCTTCAATGTGCACCACAAATTGTGCAGAACTTGTTGCACATCCTGCCTCAAGCCAGCTTCCCCACCAGGAAGCAAGGCCGACCTGACCGGCTCGTTGATTGAGCACAAAGGGATTCCGTGCACAAGTGCCTGCCGGCCTTCTTTGCATGCTCTGACATGAATGCTTTGGGCATGTTGTCTGAGCATGGAAAATTCCCAAAGAGCAAACAGCGTAAACGTGCTGCATCCTCATGGTTCAACAACGCAAAATCGTGATGCGAGTCAGTGTTCACTGCTAGCGACAACCCTCTCCTCTGCGCTCGGCTGACACGGGGGAGCATCAACCTGATGGCAGCGTTTGAACATTCTCGCCTGAAAGGCTTCAACCATGATTGTGTCTGTGGACTAGTCCACAGACAATTTGTCCATCGCACAGACGGACAGGGCTCTCGTGAGTCACAAGTTGTGGGGAATCCAACCTCACTGAGTTCGCGGCGGTACTGGTTGCAGGCATTAGCTACTCAAAACTCGACTGCCAAACGGCATTCGGTTTGCTTGGACTCTTACTGATGCCATTTTTTGTAATTCACTCTGATCCCTCTGCACATCTTTACCGTGGCACTCCTCGCGGCACTCCTCTCCAGGGGTGTAGCTTGATGTGCAAGAGTGTTGCTGAGTGTTCTGTGCCCAGTTACATGTAGAACAACAGCTCATGCATCGCGCAAGAAGCCAACAGAGTCAGTGGGAGTAAACTGCTGCAGCATGCAAAAATGTTCTTCAAACCAGCTGCATGCGGCATGCCCCACAAACAAGCAAGCAGGGTTGGTTTACCATCCCCTCCATTTGCAACTGCCAGTGGAACAAGATTCATCCCACAAATGCATCACGCTGACTTTCATCGCCACCAATGACACCAAGCAGTCCTCATGAGTCAAGAAACTTCGCCCGGAAAACTCACTGAAAGCCGTTGAAGCTGCTCGTGAACCCACTGCGACACGAACGCGCGATGGATGCACCTCGAGTCAAGCGATGCTCCTTCTTGTTGGCGAACAGATTGCGGATACAGCGTAGGCAGTTTGTTTCACATCTCTGCCAGAATCATTGCCATGCTCGAAGTGAGCTACGCATCCGGACATAGTTCAACTCCTTCGATGCATTAACGCGGCAACCCTGCTCCAGTGTGCAACACATCTTTAAAAGCGTCGCGGATGTCAATGCAAATCGTCTCTCTTTTCCATTCTGAAAACTGTCTGGTCCTTCAGGTCTTTCTCAGGACTTGTTCTGCAACACACAAACAAATGCATCTTACAACGCACTCTTGGCGGTGGTGAAAACCTTCGCAATCACGAAAACTTCAACGGATGAACAAGCCAGGTGCTACGAAGCCCTTTGCGCTGCGAATAGCAATGCCTGGCTTGCGGAAAGAACGTGAAGCCTGTCATTCAACAGCTTGCTGAGTTGAGAAGGTGCGCAACATGATCGCATCGGCAAACTGAATCTTCTCTATGGCACTGCGACGTACTATTCAGTACAAGCCGGCTTCTGAGAGAAGACTGGTGATACATTGTCGTGGCAGCAGCAAGCATGAAGACAACACACAAGTGGGCTTCATGAGAAATGTCAATTCCACAGCCGAACACGGTACTGTAGTAGGTATGGAAAAATAGTGCGGCAGCGAGGGGGAATGCAAAAGTATTAAAGGGAAAATGACAAAGTGCACACTCATACTGGATCGTATGACCTCATAGCCCTTGCATCTGCTCCCACTTGCCCTGTGTTTTGGCCTCATGAGCTGAGGAACAGAAACCTCATCTGACTTGAGTCTCTGGTACCCAGTTTCGCCGTTGCGTCACAACAGGTGCTATGGGAGGTGTTGACCCAATTTTCACAAGTTTCGCTTCAAGCCCTGTGTGTTCATCCAGCAAGCAAAGGACAACGTGAAAGTCTTCTGCAGCAGCCCCAATCTCTGAGACACACCTGAAGCCGCCGGCAACTTCCCAGGACAGTTGTCGTGCAACTTCGCCCTTGTCCTCGCCAGTGTAGGGGCCCTTGCGGTAGAAGGCAACTTGCCCGTCCGCATCTATGTACACTCCCGCTTCCAGGAAAGTTTGCGTGCCAGGCAATGAGGCATCTACCCACAAGTCTTCCAAAGGCCACATTCGAAAGGAGCCCTCCTGTCGTTGCTGAAACATCGCCCCAGCACTTGGTGAGAACTTCAGCTGCACAGCTGCTTGCCTCTCTTCAACCGCCTGACTCGTACAACTGATTGAGACGCCGAGCTGGCAGGCCTCTCCATTTCCATGCTCTTCCCATGCAAATAAAAACTCTGCATAAAATGGCCATCCTTTTCGGGTGCCATACACCAGCGGAATAATGGGTTGCGCGATTCTGGGCAATTGCGGAGCAACGCGAAAGCCACGTTGATTCTGGTAGGCCTCGCTCAAAGACAGGAGGCGCGGTTGTGTCTCCATCTTTGTCGGGTTGGTGCCAGGGCTGAGACTAAACAATGGCAGCGTGACGTCAGGAGCGCAAATAGGTTTGCTTGTGAAAGCCAGCCGACTACTTGCCCATTGCAACAGCTCCAGCTTCGGATTTGTACCCTCGCCGACAATGGCCCCTGTGTGATAGCACACAGCTCCCGTAGCCTTCGCTATCCGTCGAAGAGCTTGCCTTAAGCACAAAAAGTCGCGCTAAATCCGCCGACCCCTTCTCCAAAGGGGAGGCGCACGGGAAGGGTGGCAACAAGATTGTCATCACGATGCTCATCATCATCTCTTTTTTTCCCGAAAGCATCGCGAAGGGTTCTTTGGAAAAAACGGTTGCCGACTACACAGCCTAACTTAAGCAGCCTAGCTTACGCAGCGGGACTTACTCAAGCTGGCGTACGCAGCCTGACCTACGCAGCCTGACTTACGCAGCCTGACTCACGCAGCCTAACTTACGCAGCCTGACTTACGCAGCCTGACTTACGCAGCCTGACTTACGCAGCCTGACTTACGCAGTCTGACTTACACAGCCTGACTTATGAACCCTCTGCGCGGATCGTGCGTGTCGGAGCGCTCTCGCTGTGGCGCCGTGCGAATTTTCTACGTCGCCGACGAACCCCTGTGCGGGGATCGTGCGTGTCGGAGCGCTCTCGCTGTGGCGCCGTGCGAACTTTCTACTTGGCCGACGAACCCTCTGCGGGGATCGTGCGTGTCGGAGCGCTCTCGCTGTGGCGCCGTACGAACTTTCTATGTGGCCGACGAACCCTCTGCGGGGATCGTGCGTGTCGGAGCGCTCTGGCTGTGGCGCCGTGCGAATTTGCACGCTCGCCGACGAACCCTCTGCGGGAATCGTGCGTGTCGGAGCGCTCTCGCTGCGGCGCCGTGCGAACTTTCTACGTGGCCGACGAACCCTCTGCGGGGATCGTGCGTGTCGGGGGAGCGCTCTCGCTGTGGCGCCGTGCGAATTTTCTACGTCGCCGACGCACCCCCTGCGGGGATCGTGCGTGTCGGATCGCTCTCGCTGCGGCGCCGTGCGAATTTGCAGGCGCCGACGACCCCTCTGCGGGGATCGTGCGTGTCGGATCGCTCTCGCTGTGGCGCCGTGCGAATTTGCACGCTGGCCGACGAACCCTCTGCGCGGATCGTGCGTGTCGGATCGCTCTCGCTGTGGCGCCGTGCGAATTTGCACGCTGGCCGACGAACCCTCTGCGGGGATCGTGCGTGTCGGATCGCTCTCGCTGCGGCGCTGTACGAACTTTCCACGTGGCCGACGAACCCTCTGCGGGGATCGTGCGTGTCGGAGCGCTCTGGCTGTGGCGCCGTGCGAACTTGCACGCTCGCCGACGAACCCTCTGCGGGAATCGTGCGTGTCGGAGCGCTCTCGCTGCGGCGCCGTGCGAACTTTCTACGTGGCCGACGAACCCTCTGCGGGGATCGTGCGTGTCGGGAGCGCTCTCGCTGTCGCGCCGTGCGAATTTGCACGCTGGCCGACGAACCCTCTGCGGGGATCGTGCGTGTCGGATCGCTCTCGCTGTGGTTTTCGTTAAAATTAAGTACAAAAGTAGTATGCGAAGCGCGCTCGCGCACCTCCGGCCTGAGAATGGCAAGTTTTAAGTAGAAAAGTAGCATGCGAAGTACGCTCCAGCTCCGGCCTGGGAATCGCATTTTTTAGATAGAAAAGTAGTACGCGAAGTGCACTCTCTCTCTCTCTCTCTCTGTTTCTTTCTCTCTCTCTGTTTCTCTCTCTCTCTCTGTTTCTCTCTCTCTCTCTGTTTCTCTCTCTCTCTCTCTCTCTGTCTCTCTCTCTTTCTCTTTCTCTTTCTCTCTTCTCTTTCTCTCTCTCTCTCTCTCTCTCTTTTTCTCTCTCTCTCTCTCTCTCCCTCTCTCCCTCTCTCCCTCTCTCCCTCTCTCCCTCTCTCCCTCTCTCCCTCTCTCCCTCACTCCCTCTCTCCCTCTCTCCCTCTCTCCCTCTCTCCCTCTCTCCCTCTCTCCCTCTCTCCCTCTCTCCCTCTCTCCCTCTCTCCCTCTCTCCCTCTCTCCCGCTCTCCCTCTCTCCCTCTCTCCCTCTCTCCCTCTCTCCCTCTCTCCCTCTCTCCCTCTCTCCCTCTCTCCCTCTCTCCCTCTCTCCCTCTCTCCCTCTCTCCCTCTCTCCC